CTTTTCTTCGTGTTCGAAGTAGGGTTGGAGCGATGCCTTCGTGATTTTCTTCATGGGCCTCCTTGACCAGTAGGGATGCGAGCCATGACTGGCATGGGACCAGTGGTACGACCACTTTATCCTCTTCCAAACACTGTACTCTCCCTCCACAGACAAGAAGACCTATGGTTGGTTCTTTTTGAACGACTAGACGATCAAGCGTTGTGTCTTGGAACTTGACGCCGTGTTGGGCCTCAAGGGCTAAGAAGTTGAAGGCAGCAGCCCTTTCTCCAGCTGAGAGGTAAGTTTTGGCCTCCCACTTTAAGGCTCCAGGGGTCTGGGTGCGTCTGCTTAGCCAGATGTCAACTGCTCTCTTCAGCCAGCCAAGAGCCCCACACAGACGTGTCAGAGAGCTGAATCTTTTTGGTTCGACTAGTTTCACGAGAGCGATGATATTTTGGGCAGACCATTCCCAGGGCGGAGCTGCAGCTGACATGACTGTTGCAGAGAACGCCTTCCTTTGGAGTGCTGCAATATCTCCAGTGACGGAGGAGATGACTTCTCCAGCAGTTTTCACAGGCCATTCTTCAAAGGGGAGTTTGAGGAATGCAGGGCCTTCCTGCCAAGCTGAGCCTTCATCAAGGTCCTCAGGAGGTGCTCCCCTTGTGATGAGGTCAGCAATGTTTGCTTTCCCTTCGACCCATCTCCAATTGTCGACATGCCCGGCCTTTTGGATTTCCCCTACCCGATTGGCAAAGAAGGACTGATAGCCATAGCTATCCTTCTGGATGGCTCCAAGAATGGTCTGGCTATCGACTATGTGGACCCACTTGTCGACTTGGATATGGCAGTGCTTTTCAAAGTAGGACCTCAGGCGAGTTGCGAAGACAGCCCCGCACAGCTCTGCTTTGATGGCATCACCCTTTTGGTCTAGTGGGGTGAGTTTGGCCTTGGACTCAACGAGTCTGACAATGACTCCATCCACGGTCTCCCAGCGGAGGTAGAGCACTGCTCCATATGAAGCTTCACTGCCGTCTGAGAAGGTGACGCCCATGGGGCAGCCTATGGCTCCAGGGGGAGTAAGGCTTCTGGGGAACCTCACCTTGCCGAGTCGTACGCACTGCTCAAAGAGGGTTATTGCAGCCTCCCTGAGATGCTTTGAGAGGGGGTCGTCCCAGGTGTCTTTAACAGGACGGTCTTTTCCGGCCTCCTGAAAGGACTCTCTCACAAGCATCACACCCTTTTGCTTGACGGGTGAGGCTAGGCCAATTGGGTCATAAAACCCTGCGACTTGGCTTAGCAACACTCGGCGGGTGAGAGGGTCAGGGGTGTTTGCACGAACCTCTTCCTCTTGTAGGTCCAACCCAGTTCTCATCTTTCCTCTCCGTTTTGAGAAGTTCACTGAGGTGAGCAGGCGGAGTTTGTCAAAGTCTGGCTCTTAGCCTAGACCGAGTGCCTTATTTTCTTCGTCCCGCATTTGATTTGGGAGTACCAGGGTCTTGGGTTCTGTTGCTCTGGAACAGTCAGGTTGTTTACCCCTCCCACTTTGGCCAGTGAGGACCCACGGTTTGAGTGAGAAGCCGCCTGCTTTGAGTATCTCTTCGACTCCCTCAGTCATCCTGGTTAGAGCTTGGAGATCATTGTGGGAGGTCAATATATCATCGACATAGCAGTCCTCTGTCACAATGCGACGCTCTGGGATCATGGATTTGAACTGGGGCAGGTTGGCAGTCTCCCTCATGGCCACCTGGGCAATGCAACCGGCAGGCTTGTCACCGATGTTGACCCTGACAACAGCAAACTCATCGATTTCTTCCTTGGGGTCATCCCTCCAAAGGAATCGGTGGAGGTGTACTTCCTCATCTTTAAGCCACACTGAGTTATACATTTTTCTGACGTCTCCGAGGGCCGCATACAGACCACTCCTGAATCTCAAGAGGACACCTCGGATAGGGTTGAGAACGTCAGGGCCTTTATGGAGCAGATTATTCAAGCTCATCCCTTTAAACTCCTGGCTGCTGTTCCAGACTATTCTCACTGGCGTCGAGCTGGAATGAGGATTGGGAGCGACCAGGTGGCTAATATACCACACCGGCCCATTCCAGTCTTTGAGCTGCTCCTTGGTGAACTTGACAGCAGCTCCTCTTGCCACCATGTCATTGATTTGCTCTCCGTATGCAGTCTTCCACAGAGGTTCTTTAGCCAGCCGGGCTTCAGTGTTTCGGAAAGTAGCTTCCACAGCTTGGCGGTTGTTTGGCAGACTTGCAGGGTTTACTTTCCAAGGGTAAGCTGCATCCCAGTGAGGGGTATCGCTGTGTTTATCTGCCAAAACATACGAGAGACAGCCTTTTATTTTCTCGAGTTCCCTTTCTTCTCCAAGGGTCATTTCCTGGCCACCCGGAGAGCATTTGCCGCACTTGCAGCTCCCGCATTTCGGGCTGCACGCTGCCCCGATGCTATCCCACTTGAACCATTCGAACACTTCTTTGTTCGTGACAGTGGTATTGCTGAGAGCGGTCAGTGGAAGCTTTTTGGCTGGGACGAGAATCTCTTTGTAGAGGCTTGACGAGGTCCTCATAGTCCGCGCAAAGTGGGTTTCGGACTGGTGGAGAGTCAAGTCTACAGACTCGAAAAGGTCAGGGTGAGTGCCACCGATTGTTTTGCCGAGCGGTCCATCCCACAAGACGAGATCACCCTCCCTCTTTAATGGTTGAGGGACCAGTCGACCCTCCCTGTGGCTAATTAGGAGATCGATGGCCTCAGGCCGGGCAAGCTCTGCAGCAGCGACACCAGGAAAGATTTTCTGAAGCTGTGCTGGAGTGACTGGGTGGCTAACCTCGGCAATGCTCTCTAACCCATAACAGAGTAGCCTATGTTCAGCCACTGTTCCCTTAGTGGTCTTCACTCGCAGGCGAAGGGAGTATCTCTTGGTTTTGACCGTTTTGGTCATCCCTCCGACACCATGCACCATCAATTGAATGCTCTCACCATTCAATCCAAGCCGCTGGGCGGCGCAATGGGTGATGTAATTGGTGTCGGAGGCGAGGTCTATCAAAGTTCCAATGAGCTGGCCGGAGTTGCTTGTTACTTCCAGGAGCATCATCACTACTGGGTACTCGTCTGGTGTTTTCCCAGCAGTACAGGTTAAGGCGGAAGTCTTATTAGAAAAGGCCTTCCTAAATTCTTCTCTGAGCTCAGGGGCAACTTTGTCCAGGAGCTCCTCCTGCTGGCTAGTGAGACCTAGGCCTTTGCTATTTACTTTTCTCTTGGTACTTGCCAGAGGTGTGGATCTGGGGCACAGCAGGTAGTGATGAGGCTCTTCTGTTCTGCAGTCTGCTTTGGTGCAGACAAACTTTTTGTTGCTGCAGACGTTCTGCAAGTGAGGACCAAGACACTGAGAGCACAGCCTGTTTGCATGGAGATTGCTTTTCTTGCCCTGAAGATCCATTCCTCGGAATATAGTGCATGCAAAAAGCCTACCTGCATGGGCCGTCTCAGAGCAGGCAGAGCAAGCAGCAGCCAGTGGCTTTGCCTGGGATCCCCTTTGGCCCGAGGTGGCTTTGGAGTACGCCTTCTTGGCTGCCTTGACTATTGGCAATTTTGCAGAGGGGATTGCCTCTCTGAGGCCTTCATCCAGCTGGTCTAGCTCCTCCAGCATAGCCTCTTGCTTCTGGAGGTAAAGCAGCAGGCAATCGAAGTGGGTTTGTGGGCTGAATCCATGCAAAGGTTCCGCTTTGTACTCGATCCACTTTTCTTTTAGTGAGCTTGGTAGTTTTCGCTCCAGTGACTGCACAACAAGCCTGTTCTTTAAGATGTCCTCCTCTCCTAATATGACCAGGTTGCTCAGGGCTCTCTCCACGGCCTGGATTAATTCAATTGTCTTCCGGGGATTATTCCCCTTCACAGGAGGTAGGCTTTCAATGTCCTCGGCAATCTTAAGGACGATTCTTGCCTTGTTTCCAAAACGATTGTCGAGGCGCTTGAACATCTCCTCTGGGCTTGAGCAGCTGGACAGAACCAAGTCTTTTTTCACCCTTTCACTCAGGCTTGCCAGCAAGTGGAACCGGGTGACTCCAATGGTTCTCATTGGGTTTCCTAACTGTTCCAACTCTACCCACTCGGCCTTCCAACGGTAATAGTCGGTCATATCTCCTGAGAAAACAGGCAGTCGGGTTCTTTCAAGGCTGATCTGTGGCTTTGAGAAGGGTTGCAGGCTAGGTGATAGAGAGGGCCCTGGGACACTGGGTTGGTAGACCGTTTGGTGAGCGCCAGCAGCAACAGAGACGCTGGGTTGGTCAGCACTAGCTGAAATGGGCTCTGATTTGGACATTCGGCTTTGCTTTTTCCAATTCAGTTCCCAGTCTCGTGCTCTGCTTTTAAGTTTGTAGATTGCCTGCTTATGCTGGCTGACTTTGTCAGACACGAGCCGTTCCCATGCTATAACCTTCTGCTCCAATTCATGGATCCCTTCCAACAGGCCATCACGAAGGGCTTCAAATTCATGCTCTGGCATGTCTGCAACATTTGTATTTTCCACTTCCTTGTATTTTTCTTCTGTTCCCTCAATGTGGAGCAGAATCTCAGGCATTGCAAACTTTTTGTACAAGGTTTCTCTGGTGAGCAGGAGAGTGTCACTGTAGACGATGACACACTGCTCAACTTTTGCTTTAGTCCTCCTTGCCTCTTCTTCACCGTCCTCCACATCTTCCAGAGCCTCCAAGACAGCTAGCGCAGTGTCGTGCATCCTGTTGAAGTCAGCACTGAGTGCGCGCATTTCATGAGCAAGGGCTCCTTTTTCCAAGATGTCAGTAGTGAGAGAAAGCTTGTTAGCTCTCCTGGTGAATGCAGCTTGTGCAGTGGACCGTTTCACTTGTAGGTCTGTTATTTTGGTGGAATCCATTTTCCTTGTTTTGTTTTGAAATTTGATGAGGTGATTTGTTTAGAGGGATTTTGTTTTGTTTCCTCTTTGTTGATGGCATCACCGGTTTATAACTGTTCGGTTTTTTTTTTTGATTTTTTTTTAATTTATCCCCACCGAAAAGGGTCGCTAGAAGAGCGAGACTTGGTTACAACTCAGTGTCCAAATGTTGTTTATTTTCTTTCTTGATTTCACACTTGAAACACAGCAGGTTATAAACCTGTGGAAAACACCAAAGTTGTGCTATACATTAGATGCCATGTTCAGATATTTACATAAATAACTAATACAAATTCACTGCAATATCAATGAGAAATCCATATAAATACACATAAATGCATCCATAAGCTATAAACTCTTATTTAGACACACACCATAAAGCGTCAGTAACTACTGTATAAAAATCTGCAGCTTGTATAAATAATTCATATAAATACAATTCCTCATTAAAGCATAGCCAGCAATATCTATAAATATAAACAATAGAATGCACAACAGCAGACACTACACTTAATCCATTTCATTACATACAAACACCAGAGCTACCACTGCAAAAAGCAGCTTAAAATAACAACAACAGGAGCCCATTTACAAATGCTAGGTAAGTGAACCACATCTTCCATCATGCATTACAGGAAACAACTACGACTTCAGCCCGACTACAACACCCAGAGTGCACCGCGAATCAGGAAGTAAGCGCATAGCGTCAAACGCGCTTCGTTTCAAAAGTTTTTACCGTCAACTCAGACTAATAAACTTTAACAGTAATCGGCGGATTAAAACAATGCACTCGCCAAGTGACCACAGTGAAAAAATTATAAACATCCGACCAGTTAAAGGGCAACAACAGTCGATCAAGCAGTTTAAAATAACCAGCGAGAGAATATTAAAACCCAGCACCTTACCGGTGATGTGCGTCGCTCTTCCAGCCATGCAATTGGATTCTGTCTCTGTGCGTGCACGCTCCTGTTTATCTACGCATCACTAGGAACACTACATCCAACGGCAAGCCAGCACACCAAACCAGGTAAGTGCCACCTCCCACCTAATCAGCTGTGCTGCATTACACCTGATCACCCGTGAGTTGACGTTGTTTACCCACCACCAAATGACAGTGCACAAAACAATTATTGAATATAATGCAGGAAATTCCCATTCCCAGCAACATTATTTAGTGATGTTGAGCCAACATGGGCAGCAGTGTGGAACGCAGGAAGACACCCAGAACCTCTCTAAGACTTCAGTCCTGGAGAGGACACTTGGTTCTCCCATTCTCCTCCTCTGTACGAGGCTCTGAGCTCCCGGTGCTGCTGCTGCATCTCTCAGTAGCAGATCCAGAGAGGCTGGATGGATCTGGACTGGAAGGTGGAGGCATAGTTAGGCTTTAGTGTCCCTGCCCATCTGGAGATTCTTCCAGAGAATTTCTCTCTTGTTTTTATGGCCTCTGGTCAAATGGTTTGATTAGAAAGAAGAAAAAACTGCTGATAAAGAGGAAGATAGAAGGAATCAAAAACCCTGATGTGTCATTTAGTTTAATCCATAGATGTATTTCTGAGCTGAACTCATATTTCTGAGAACTTTGAACTGAACAATGCAGTTTTTGAAGTGAGGAACATCAAGTGAACGAAGCTCATCTTGACATCATTTAACGTTGTTCTGTTTAAGGTGAACTAAAGATTGTCCCGTTTTTTGGGGGTAAACTTTAGTAAATTTCCTAGAGAAAGAGCAGCAGCATTTCTCCTTAGGCGCTCAGGTTCTGCTGTTGCTGCCATCGGGCAGCAAAGACCCAGTTCTGCTCTGTGAGAAACTCCATCAGTCATTTAGGCCTTTAAACGTGACTCTGCCGTCTTCAGCTTTGCTTTCTATGTCAGGACATGAACTGAAGGCTCCAACCTTACAGCTCTCAGGTTCCTCTGAGGGATTTCTTCTTGGTTTGTGGACAGAGATGCAGCCCAGAGAACCATGAAGTAAAATTGATCAGCTGGCTCATTTAAAGACACAATGACATTCATGCTGTGCTTTGATGGACCATTTCTGCTTGAATGGAGGCTTGAAGAGGCCTGAACATGAGGTGGAGCCTTGGACACAAACTCTGAGCTGCAGCTGGGATCTAGAAAGGAAAACTGCTTGGTTTTGTTCACAGAATTTAGGAATCAGGATTTTTTTGTCCTGCTCCATTTTCAGGCGTTTGCCGTCCGTAAACTTTTAGTCTGGATCCTACCAATGTTTTCTAAATGAGACCCAGGACTGGGAACCACTGGGCTGTTGGATCATCCAGACACTGATTACTGAAGGACATCATTACGTTTGGACTTTATTTCAGCACATGAAGATAAATAAAGGATAACTAGTTCCAGTAAGAGCTGTGAACTGAGTTCAGAATATTTAGGAAGAGAACTATGAACATGAATCAGTTGATCTGAACCTGCTTGAACTGAGTTCAGAACCAGTTCTGGTTCAGGGAGAACTGGGTCAGCACTGGTAGAAGGTTCTAGATCTCTTTCTAACCTTCATCAGGTTAATTATTCTACAGGATGTCTTTAAAATAGTTCAGTTGATATTTCTGTGAAGAATTTGATAGAATCAGCTGGAAAATAAAGTTAATATCTTCTATTCTAATAAATATTTTCCTGAGTTGGTCTTTGGATTTGGAGCCTTCAGTTCATATCCTAACATAGAAAGCAAAGCTGAAGTTGGCAGAGTCATGGAGGATGGAAATGAACTGGAATTCCTGTCATTCATTTTCAGGGTGTTATGGCTCAGGGTCCTAAAAACTGGAGACCATGCCACAAGGTGCAGAGAGAAACATTGATTTAGGATTAAACACAGGTTAACAAAAACTAGAATGGATGGAAGTGTCTGTATCAGTGGGGTAGAGCAAATGATTGGATGTGTCTGTGTGATCATCAAAGTGACCACCATTTTTCTGATTTCACCATCAAAATGAGGACCGCTTGTTGTAAAGTGAGGACATTTTTCTGCTCCTGTTGAGCTGTTAGCTAACAGTTAGCTTTAGGGTTAATGTCAGGGTCAGGGCATAGAAAGGGTTAAAATGACTGAAAATCAATGGAAGTCAATACATGATGATGGTGATGATGGTGAAAGTGAGATTAATGATGAAGGTTATGATTATGAAGGTTATGATGATGAAGGTGATGATGATGATGATGATGATGATGATGATGATGAAGGTGATAATTATGAAGGTTATGATGATGAAGGTGATGATGATGATGATGATGATGAAGGTGATGATTATGAAGGTTTTGATGATGAAGGTGATGATGAGGATTAAGGTGATGATTATGAAGGTTATGATGATGAAGGTGACGATGATGATGATGATGATGATGATGATGATGATGATGACGATGAAGGTGATGATTAGAAGGTTATAATGATCAAGGTGATGATGATGATGATGATAAAGGTAATGATTATGAAGGTTATGATGATGAAGGTGATGATGAAGATGAAGGTGATGATTATGAAGGTTATGATGATGAAGGTGATGATGATGATTATGAAGGTAATGATTATGAAGGTGATGATGATGAAGGTGATGATGATGAAGGTGATGATGATGGTGAAGGTGACAATGGTGAAGGTGATATAGATCAGGATAGGGATGGTGATGAAGGTGATTATTATGATGTTGGTGATGATGAGGATGATAAAGATCATGACTTGATGAAGGTGATGATGGAGATGGCAATGCTGATGATGAAGATAATGATGATGCTGATGATGATTAAGGTGACGATGATGATGATGTCCAGCATCATGGCGTCCATCAGGGCGGCGTGGAGAGAGAGAAAGAGGCAGGGATTTCTATCCTCTGTTCAGGATCCCCATCACCATAACCTGCAAAGAGGAGCAAACAGGGCAGAAACACCAACACACAACCCAGCTCACAAGGCCTAGGGCTGAACAAAGGGTAGCTGACACACACTGTGTGCAGAGATCCACCTAGGCATGGGCCGCTACTGAGCTCCAATAAAAGCAATAGAAAAGAAAAAGAAGAACTCTGAAATACAGACGAAAACATGGAAGATGAAAAGAGGTACGATCAGTGCAGGTTCATCATCAACAGGATGCTAGCTTCACTTTTTTTCATTTCACACTTTATGTGATGCACAGTTAGAAAAAATCCTAATGTCAGTTTTTCCAGTATTGTGCAGCCCTACAGTGGAATAATTGATCATCTAGTTTAATTGATCTGCATTCATCTCTATTTGTTCATCTTTCCTCCAAAGTTCTCCAGAACTTGTTTGTTTTTTTCTGTGAAACTTGAAGAATTTGGCAGCAGAAGCTGAGTTTGTATTGATAGAGCTGCTGGTGGAACTGACAGAGATAAAGAGCTGAAGTCAGCAGGTCTTTATTGGAGCAGCAGCATGTTGGCATTAATATTAATGAGAGCTCTTTAACTGCTTCTGTTGGACTGTTCCAACCTGCATCCTGTTGGATCAGCTCACATCTTTCTATTCTTTATCCAGGTTGATTGACTGCGGTTTGTCAATGATCAGCTGTGCTTCTTTGGCCTCAGCTCTGAAGTCAAACCCCTCCCATCTGACTGAACTGGACCTGAGCAACAACAACCTGAAGGAGTCAGATGTTCAGCAGCTGCAGGATCTTGTAGAGAGTCCAGACTACAAACTGCAGACTCTGTAAGTAGATGGTTGGAGTGAGTCCAGCTGCTGTCAGCAGGATTGTTCTAAACCCAGTTAGTATCAAAGCAAAGATCCAGTGTTTCCAGTAAAGCTGCAGCTTCTCAGTGGGAGGAGAACGGTGACAGGCTTCCTGATTGGACACAGAGACACCAATCAGCCAATCAGAGGAGCCAGAAGCTGGTTGTGTTCCTGTGTTTGTGTTGATGTGAAGACGACTGTTGTTGTTGTGTTCATGTCTCCAGGAAATGACGCTGGATTCCAGCTGCCAGCCTTCCAACATGTCTAGAGACAGTGGTCCTCATCCATCAAACTGTGGGAGCATCAGATCTGATCTCAGACTCTTTGTTCTCTCATTTCAACAGGAAACAACTGATCAGTTTCATCTTAGCCACAGCTCTGAGATCAGTCTGAATGCAGCCTGGAAATCAGTGGCTCTGATTTCACAAACCATCATTCCATTTAGTCACCATGTGGTCTTTCTACAGAAGTCCACTCAGCACATCTGGACATGTGTCCTTCTGTCATTAGTCTCATCCAGATGTGTTCAGGGACAGCCTCCGTGTTTCTTAGTCAGCTGATATTTCAGAAACAGATGAGATGTTGATCAGCAGCCAGAGTTTCTGTGTCTAAATGGAGCAGCAGCTAACATGTAGCAGCAGTAAATCCATCACTACAGTGTTTGTGCAGCAATGAAGCCTTCAGGACTCTGAGCAGGTGGTTTCCACTGTGGACTGGAGGGAAACCTGCAGAGGAACCAGACTGGATGCTAAAAATGTGTTGAGCTGTGTGAGCTTGGAGCTCAGTGTGTTCACTCCAACCAGACATGTTCATAAGTCATTTTTTGCAAGTCCAAGTCAAGTCTCAAGTCTTGAGAGCTCAAGTCCAAGTCAAGTCTCAAGTCTTGAGAGCTCAAGTCCAAGTCAAGTCTCAAGTCTTGAGAGCTCAAGTCCAAGTCAAGTCTCAAGTCTTGAGAAGGCCTGTCGCAATAATCAATTAATCGCACAAAAAATTCTAATCACTTGATTCATTTAAAAAAGTGCAATAATTTTCATGCTTGCTTGTTTCTCCTTGTGTTTTCATCTCCGTCACTGAGACGGTATAGCTTAAAGGTCGCTATTATATCTATGGAATTATCATTATCTTGAACTGCTAAATGAAAAATACAATAAAAAAAGCACACGCAAAATTTTTTTCCAGATAAATTTTGCATTTTCTTACAGTATTTCCTGACATTTGTGGTTACAACTTTTTTTAGTTTTAGCAATACATGTCTGCTCTTTTATTGAAAATGAGGACTGTGGAAAAAAAAACAATCACAATCCTGCCGTCCACGTACTGTTGCGTCAGTGACATCAGTGTGTTGCACAGGGAAAAATATGGTTTATGGTTTTCTTTCATTTAAATGTTAGTTGTCTGAAGTAGTTGTCTGAGGAGGCGGAGTGCATTAATTGCGCTGCGTAATGCTGCGCTCAGGTGTGAGCAAGGGCTGATTAAAGCCGACATAAAAGGAGTCTGACGGAAAGGAGAAGGAGAACGGAATCTGCAGGTGACAGAGACGGACGCGCTGCCGGGGGAGATGCAGGTGGGATCCGTGCGCCAGGAGGGCGCACTGATGGCCCAGTAAGAAGTATTAGGGCAGAGGAGGAACCTCGCCTGTAAGTAGCGCTCCCCCTCGCTTAAAGCATAAACAGGCATATATCTTCCGACGGGGTTTTGGCGCGTGGAGGCTGGCGTTCTCCTTGCTTCTCTTTTTAGCTGGATCGGTCTGGAAAGGGGTGTGGCACGCCAGGGAGTGGAACAGTGCTGGAGCGCCGCAGAGTCTGTGGATCAGCCAGTGGGTGCTGCAGGCCGATCAATTCAATTCAATTCAGTTTATTTATATAGCGCCAAATTCACAACACATGTCATCTCAAGGCACTTTACAGTTCAACCAGATCATACAGTCAAATTGATACAAAGTTTTCTATCTAAGGAAAACCAGTTGATTGCATTGACTCATTGACTCAAATACAATCCCCCACACTAAGCATGCTTGTAGCGACAGTGGAGAGGAAAAACTCCCTTTTAACAGGAAGAAACCTCCAGCAGAACCAGGCTCAGTGTGAGCGGCCATCTGCCGAGGCCCACTGGGGTTCAAGGAGACAGAAGCAGAGATACAAAAAGCAGCTGTAAAAGGCGTCCAGGAAACACACAGCCAGGCAGACGAGCTCCAAGGCAGCTCCCATGCCAGAGGACGAAGAGAGCACATCCACTCAGTCACGGTCAGAGAAACAGGACCACACTGGAAAACAGGCCGATCTCCAACATCTATTAACAAGGGTGTTGATAGAAGCAGCACAGCTGATGTTTTTTTCCAGGATGACGTCACAGCCAAACAGGAACAGACGAGGCAAAGCTACTCTGAGGAAAAGCAGAGAGAGCAGAAGGTTAGAGATTGAACTAACAGATTCTGCAGAATAGGAGAACAGAGAGAGAATGAAGCAGAATGATGAAATGGGGGTCCCTATGTCCTCCAAAAGTCTAAGCCTATAGCAGCATAACTATAGAGATAGCTCAGGATAACCTGAGCCACCCTAACTATAAGCTTTATCAAAAATGAAAGTTTTAAGCCTAGCCTTAAAAGTAGACAGGGTGTCTGCCTCACGGACTAAAACTGGTAGTTGGTTCCACAGGAGAGGAGCCTGATAACTGAAAGATCTGCCTCCCATTCTACTTTTAGAAATTCTAGGAACCACTAGTAAACCTGCAGATTGAGAGCGAAGTGCTCTGTTAGGAACATCAGGAACAATCAGATCTCTGATATAAGATGGAGCTTGGCCATTTAAGGCTTTATATGTGAGAAGGAGGATTTTAAATTCTATTCTTGATTTAACAGGAAGCCAATGAAGAGAAGCCAGGATAGGAGAGATATGATCTCTCTTTTTCATTTTCATTAGAACTCTGGCTGCAGCATTTTGGATCAGCTGAAGGCTTTTAACTACAGTTTGTGGACTTCCTGATAGTAAAGAATTACAATAGTCCAGCCTTGAAGTAACAAATGCATGGACTAGTTTCTCAGCATCACCCCTGGACAGGATATTTCTAATTTTTGCAATGTTCCTCAGATGAAAGAAGGAAATTCTAGAAACCTCTTTGATATGGGATTTAAATGACAGGTCCTGATCAAAAATAACACCAAGATTTTTTACTTTATTATCTGAAATCAGTTTAATCCCATCCAAATGAAGTGACTGGCTAATCAGTTTCTTTTTCAGAGACTCTGGTCCAAAGACTATAACTTCTGTTTTGTCTGCATTCAGAAGCAGAAAGTTAAGAGTCATCCAGGTTTTTATGTCTTCAAGACATGCCTGTAATCTATGTAATGGGTTAGCTTCATCTGGATTATAGACAGATATAGCTGGGTATCATCAGCATAACAGTGGAAATTAATCCCATGCTGTCTAATAATTCTACCAATTGGGAGCATGTATAAAGTAAAGAGAATTGGTCCTAGCACTGATCCCTGTGGTACTCCACAGGTAACCTTTGAGCGTGTTGAAGATCTATCATTAACATGAACAAACTGAATTCGATCAGATAGATAAGATTTAAACCAGTCTAGTGCTGTTCCTTTAATTCCAACAAAATATTCAAGTCTTTCTAAAAGAATATTATGGTCAACTGTATCAAATGCAGCACTAAGATCCAACAGGACGAGCACAGATACAAGTCCATTATCTGAGGCCATGAGAATATCATTAGTGACTTTCACCAGAGCTGTTTCAGTGCTATGATGAGCTCTAAAGCCAGACTGAAACTCTTCAAAAAGTTCATTATGGTGGAAGTGATCGCAAACTTGTTTGGCAACTACTTTCTCAAGAATTTTGGATAAGAAAGGAAGATTGGATATAGGTCTATAATTGACCAAGTCATCTGGGTCAAGAGACGGTTTCTTAAGCAGAGGTTTAATTACAGCAATCTTAAAAGCTTTAGGTACATATCCCTGTAACAGAGATAGATTAATCACATCTAAAATGGAGGAGGAGATCAAAGGGAATACCTCCTTAAATAACCTGGTTGGAACTGGATCTAACATACAAGTTGAAGGCTTAGATGAAGACAATAATTTTGCTAATTCAGAGAGTTCAACTGGATCAAAGCAGTCTAAACCCGGTTCAGATTCCATGACTACCTCAGGTACAATCGCGGATAGAGGAGTGCTTATGATCTTATTTTTAATAAGATCAATCTTATTTATAAAGAATCCCATAAAATCATTGCTGCTAAGAGCAGGTGGAATGGACGGTTCAACAGAGCTATGGCTCTGGGTGAGTTTGGCAACTGTATTAAAAAGAAATCTAGGATTATTCTTATTCTCCTCTATTAATGAGGAGAAGTATGCTGCTCTTGCTTTACAAAGGGTCCTCTTATACAGCAGTAAACCATTTTTCCAGACTAGGAAGGACTCTCGCAGGCCTGTGGAGCGATATTTTCTCTCCAGTTTCCTAGCATTTTGCTTCAAAGTACGCAGCTCTGCATTAAACCAAGGAGCAAGCTTTCTATTTTTAACGGTTTTCATTTTCAAAGGAGCTGCGTTGTCTAAGGCAATACGCAGAGAACTAGCAACCCCATCAACAAAATCATCAACCTGTGAAGGGGAATAAGCTAAGCTTTTGCACTCTGCAGCACTGCTCAGTGACACAGAGCAGAGAGAAAGTGAAGCAGATTCTTTAAAATGTATAACTGCACTATCTGATAAAGATCTACTAAAATTGAACCTTCTTTTGGGAGAGGAGAACTCTGTTAAAGTAATCCTGAAGGTTATTGGAAAGTGGTCAGAGAGGACAGGGTTGTGAGGAAATACTGTTATTTCTTCACATTCTATGCCGTATGTCAGCACAAGATCCAAAGTATGAAGATGAGAATGCGTGGGACTATTCACATTTTGAACAAAGCCAATAGTGTCTAAGATAGCATTAAAGGCTGCTCTTAAGCTATCGCCTTCAATGTCAGCATGGATGTTAAAATCTCCCACTATGATGACCCTGTCAGTATTTAATACCAAATCAGAAAGGAACTCTGAAAACTCATCTAAAAATTCAGAGTAAGGACCTGGTGGACGATACAAAGTTTCAAAAAGAAGAGGTTTTCTTGCCTTGAAATTTGGATCAGGGAAATTAAGGGTTAAATGTTCAAAAGAGTTGTAGGTATTAATTGTTTTGGGAGTAATCAGTAAGTCAGACTGGAAGATTGTTGCTACTCCTCCTCCTCGCCCAGAACTTCTGGGGATGTGAAAATTTAAATAGCTTGAAGGAGTTGCCTCATTTATGCTCACATAATCACTCGCACCAGAAGCAGCATAACAAGCGGAGCCCAACTTCCAGCCTCTGATTTTTAAGGAAAACTCTTGAATTTTAGGTTTTATCAGGAGAAGAAAAGGACTGTTTTATTATGCCACTTTTGCTGTGGCTTTTTGTATAAATAAAACACTTGAACTTGAGTGCTTCACGGTTTGGGTTTTTTTTTTTTTTTTTACCTCTTCTGTGTGCGGGTAAGGCGAGCGGCGATCAGTCAAGTTAGTAAAACAAAAAACACTTGAATAAGTGTTTTTACACTGGAATAAAATATTGTTCACAAGTCGGAAATCACGAGTCTCAGTCGAGTCTGAAGTCCTTTAAATGCAAGTCTAAGTCGAGTCTGAAGTCATTAAATATGCGACTTAAGTGCGACTCGAGTACGAGTCACAAACTCGAGTCCCCATCTCTGACTCCAACACGTTAAGATGAGAGCTGAAAGGAAGCTGGCTCTGCTCCACAGCTGCTCTGAACAGGACTGAAGTCCCTGCTGCTCTTTATCCTGGATGTGCTGCATCACTGACTGACAGCTGATGGAGAGAGAGAGGCTTGAAACACTCACTGATCTCCTCTCTTTATCCTTCTTCTCTCTGCAGGTGGTGGAGGATCTGATCTTGGTGGAGGAGAGAAGCTGATCTGTGTCCTGATGATCCTCAGAGGTTGAAGCTGCAGCAGTTTGAGTTTAAAGAGACTCTGACTGGATCCTGATGATGAACTCTGAGTTTAGAGATTTGTTTGTTTTCACTCATTTTTTCTCTTTGTTTTCATCGTCTCCATAATATCATGTTGATATTTTTCCATCCAAATTAAAATAGAGAATAAAATGATCTATAACCTGTGAAAAGATTAATTTTAAAAAGAATCCTGAACAGTTTTATCAAACTTTTAATGAACTTTAATGTTAAATTTAGCTGATGCTGTTGTAAACCTCAGAAAGTTCTCTCTCTTTGATTTAATATTCCCACTGAACTTCCTGGATCAGATCTGAAAAGCTGCTCTGTCTTTCTGATTCTCTGAGAGCTGCAGCAGTTTCAGATGCTGAGATCTTTTTTCTTTGAGTGTTTCCTCTATTTCTCTCCATTCATTCTGTCTCCATGTTCACCTGCTGAAACCTTTAGATCCTGCTGAAAATCTTTGTTGTTCCTGCTGATGAACCACCACTGTGGCTCATTGTTAGCAGGTTAGCTAAAGCAGGTGTGGAGCGATCCAGGACCTCAGATGGACTCAGGAAGCCCTTCCAGTCCGGCCCCAGCAGGGTGGAGGAGGGCTGCTGTCATTAAGGAGGAGCTGCTTGGACTGAAAATAGAGTCCAAGGCTGAATCCCATCATTTGGCCTCAACTCTTCCTCACCAACCCTAAGCTAGTGAGCTGTTGGGGGTCCTGGTTGTTCTGAGGAGTTGTAGGGGGGGGCACCCATTGGTCCTTGGACAGAGATTCTGTTTAGGAGACCGTTTGGAAGCAAATATGTTAGAGCTGAGCTTGGAAATGTTTGTTTTCTCACTTCCAATGTTTTAATGACTCAATAATCATTGTAGTGTCTAATTCAAAATGTTCTGATATTTCATGTTGTTTTCCACTGTTAATTATTCTGAACCAGTTTAAAGACAGCAAAGATAGAATATTTCATCCAATATTTTCCTCTACTAGTTACTATCCTGGTCCTGGAGGGTAGCAGCTGGTCTGGATCAGTGATCATCTGGACAATCGTCTAGTTTCCAGTCTGGTGTGAAGCTCAGAAATTGCTCATTATTCCATGTTAAAGTGTTGAAGTTTCAATGTTCCTGCGTGGTTCTCTCAGGGTACTCCAGCTTCCTCCCACAGTCCAACTAATGACTGTTAGGCTGTTTGCTGTTTCTAAGTTGCCCTTAGGTGTGAGTGTGTGTGTGCATGGTTGTGTGTCTCTGTGTTGCCCTGCGATGGACGACCTGTCCAGGATGGATGGATCCTATTAAATGGATCTAAAAAACTGCAAATAAGAAAGAAAACCTCATAAAAATACTTCTTGAACCATTTAAGCTAATTTCATTGTAACCTGTAACAATGTTCAGCACTTTGCTACCAAGTGTTTTGTTCCTCAACAGCCTGAAAAATGCATGTCTAATTTAGAAAACATATTGATTAAAAAGCTGAATGGAAAACGCTTTCTGAATCCATGTACTTGTCTTTACTTGAACAAAAAAGAAAATCTTTGGTATAGTTGGAAAAACATCTTTAAAAGGAGAAGAACTCTGCATTTGTAGCTGCATTGTTGGATAAAACTCCAGCAGTAACTTCAGACATTGGTGTTTGTTGATGTGAATAATTATTTAGATTGAGGTTTATCAACTGCTTCCATCAGACTTGTGCAAAAGTAGCTATAAACTGGTTAAAGCCACAACATCATAAAACATGAGCTATAGAAACATTCATTAGAAAAAATGTTCAAACCTGCAGAAGTAATCTGGGTTTAATACTTTAGTGTTTAAATCTCTACAAACAGAATAATGTTGTTTACTTTGGGATCAAACTAAGCAATATCCATAATCCAGATGTTGCTCTAAAACTTTGTTCATTTCATGTCAGAAATCAGGGTAGCTTTCATTAGCGACTGTCAGCTCTAAGAAACCCCCACATGTGTGAACAATAGGTCTTCTTTGGAAGCCCTGAACCTGTGTGAAGGACACAGTGATGTTTTTCCCTGGAAACAGATCTGATCCTGGAGAAAACCTGAGAAAACTGGAAAGATGGACAGAATCACTCTAAGATCTGCAGTTAGCTACTTCCTGATTACTTTTTAAGGGCATTTGGGTCACTATGGAAAGTGACTGAATGGATTATTTTAGGTTGTGTTGGTTGCAGTGCATCAAAGGCAGCTGAAGTTCCTGTCAGCTCTGGCTGATTTAGTGCAAACACATTACTCCACTCCTCTATAACAAAGGCTGACTCTTGGGGAAGTTTTTGGTGAGCAGCTCTTTAAAGATCTGATGTGTTTCTTGCTGTCTGAGGCCTACGACAAATCTGCAAACCAAGCAATTCTAATATCTTTGTCAAGACTTTCAGACTGTGAAATGCAGCCTCATTCACTGTTAGACACTCGTTCACTCTGAGTGTGAAAAACAAACTATTTAATGGATCACTTTCAGCGACACCAAGAGCAGCTTGTTCAAGAAGCTCAGCTGAAAGTTTTCTGGCTCAGAGCTTTTCTTTTTCCAGCCCAAAGCAATGATTGGCCCTACACTTTCCCTTTCTTCTTTTCCAAAGTTCTGTCACAGGTTTGGACCTTTAAAAGATTAAGCTAACCCATTACATAGATTACAGGCATGTCTGAAGACATAAAAACCTGGATGACTCTTAACTTTCTGCTTCTGAATGCAGACAAAACAGAAGTTATAGTCTTTGGACCAGAGTCTCTGAAAAAGAAGCTGATTAGCCAGTCACTTCATTTGGATGGGATTAAACTGATTCCAGATAATAAAGTAAAAAAACTTGGTGTTATTTTTGATCAGGACCTGTCATTTAAATCCCAGATCAAAGAGGTTTCTAGAATTTCCTTCTTTCATCTGAGGAATATTGCAAAAATGAGCAATCTCCTGTCCAGGGGTGATGCTGAGAAACTAGTCCATGCATTTGTTACTTCAAGGCTGGACTATTGTAATTCTTTACTATCAGGAAGTCCACAAACTGTAGTTAAAAGCCTTCAGCTGATCCAAAATGCTGCAGCCAGAGTTCTGATGAAAATGAAAAAGAGAGATCATATCTCTCCTATCCTGGCTTCTCTTCATTGGCTTCCTGTTAAATCAAGAATAGAATTTAAAATCCTTCTTCTCACATATAAAAGGGATTCCCAAACTTTACCACACCAAGGCCCCCCAACACCAGTACATTTTCAGCTGATGCCCCCCCTCATGTGAAATATGCGTAAAAACTCATGTGTAAGCTACAGCGGCAGAATTAAAAAATGAGTGAACAAACCACCTAAATAAAAACACATTTATTTTGTAAAGATGAAGTCACAATTATATTTTATTAAACTTTAATTCATTAATTTAATGAATAAAATATAGCAATAACATAGGCCCACTTCTTTAATTTTAATAACTTTTTTTTTAAACGATGAACCTCTTTATACCTTCCAAAAACAGAAAGATATGTGAACAAAATAAAACTTTGTCCCAAATTAAACATGCAGGCATTTTATATGATGCAGGCCTAAGAACAGATGTGGCTACATGAGATACAGACGTACCGTGCTAATGGGAGCAGTGGGCTTGATGGCTTCTACAGTTTGTCCAGTCTGGGCTTGATGTCTGTCAGAGCAACACGCATGTCATTCTCCACATTCCAACGTGATCTGTGTTTAGTTTTCAGTACTTTTATAGTGGAAAAAGCCAGACTCATTGTCATTGTGAGTTGCATGTATAGAGCTCCTGGTTCCAATATGGAAATATTTAGAGATTGGTTTGAGCAAACATTTACAGTTACATCTCAGGAGATCCTTTTCATCTGTGGGGACTTTAATATTGATTTACTTAACCCAAACAATCATAAACCTACTGAAGAGTTCATTAATACCATGTACAGTTTGAGCCTTTTTCCCAGAATCACTAGACCGAGCAGGATCACACTCAACAGTGCTACATTAATAGATAACATATTTACTAATATCTTGGATAATAATACCACAAGTGGATTAATAATTCAGCATATTAGTGATCATCTCCCAGTCTTTGTTGTCAGCGACAATTTCTATGTAAAAAATAACGATAAAAGTAATCCACAGTTTAGAAGAGTAAGAACTGAGGAATCACTCACAGCTTTTAAAGAGGACTTATTGAAACATAACTGGGAGTCGGTTTTGTATGAAGATAATGTCGATATGGCTTATGAAAATTTTCTGAATAGTTTTAAAGTAATATATGATAAGAGCTGTCCGTTAAAACCGTTTACTCCTAAAAACAAATACTTTGGAGCTCCATGGATCACTAAGGGCCTGCAAAATGCCTGCAAAAAAAAGAACAAACTTTATAGAGATTTCATAAGGTATAGATCCTTGGAGGTAGAGAATAAATATGAGAAATACAAGAATAAATTAACTGCTATTCTACGAATAGCTAAACAGGATTATTACTGTAAATTATTAGATAGAAATAAGAAAAACATTAAAGGGATTTGGAATGTATTAAATAATATTATCAAGAAAAACTCAGGAAAAATTAGTTTTCCGCAGTTTTTTATAAATAATGATGACAATTTTGAGGACAGTAATGACATTGCTCATAATTTTAATAAATTTTTTGTGAGTGTGGGTCCATCACTTGCAGAACAAATCCCAGATCCTTCAACAACTGGAGCTCTGAGTGAAAGACTAATCAGCAGAAATCCCCACTCAATTTTTCTTACTGCAGTGGGAGAAAAGGAAATTATAGATATAGTCAATAAATGTAAAAGCAAAAGGTCAACTGACTGTGATGGCATTGATATGTCAATAATTAAGAAGGTAATTGAGGAAATCATTCAGCCTCTGAGTTACATCTGTAATTTGTCATTTCAATCGGGTAAATTTCCAGAAAAGATGAAAATGGCTAAAGTTATTCCACTCTATAAATCTGGGGACAGACACCATTTCACAAATTATAGGCCTGTTTCTTTACTTCCACAGCTCTCCAAAATTTTGGAGAAATTATTCATGGGTAGATTACATACTTTCATTAATAAACATAAACTGCTTTCCGAAAGTCAATATGGATTTAGGTCACAAAGATCTACAGCAATGGCTGTCATCGAATTGATAGAAGAAGTCACCTGTGCTTTAGATAACAAGAAATCTGCAGTAGGTGTATTCATTGATCTCAAAAAAGCTTTTGATACAATAAATCATGAAATATTACTTAAGAAATTGGATCGTTATGGCATCCGGGGAGTAGTCCTCCAGTGGATGAAAAGTTATTTAAGTAACAGGCAACAATTTGTGCAAATGGGTGACTGCCAATCATCATGCTTGGACATTGTTTGTGGTGTCCCCCAGGGGTCAGTACTGGGGCCAAAATTGTTTATTCTTTATATTAATGACATCTGTAAAGTTTCTATGATACTAAAATTTGTTTTGTTTGCAGATGATACTAATAGTTTTTGTACAGGTGATAATTTGGATCAACTTGTAGCTGATATCAATTTAGAGTTATGTCAACTTAAGACATGGTTTCATATTAATAAATTATCATTCAATTTGGATAAAACCAAGTTTATGTTGTTTGGAAACTGCAAAACTAATGTACATATCCTAATAGACAACGTAACAGTTGAGAGAGTTA